GGGCTGGGGGTGGTGGTTTGGTTTGGTTTTGTTTTTTTTTACCAAATCTGTGTCACATCCATGTAAGTTTATGCTACGAGTGTCAGACTCAATTAACTATAGAAGAATGTAGATGTCTTTATGGGACCCTCTTGGGTAAGGTTACAGTCATCATCAGTTTTGATTTGGAGGAGACCTCTCACCTACAGGTGGAAAGCTGCACAAATGTTAAGGACAGAATTATTACCTTATTTGTACCTAAACTTTAAGGCTCAACCTCCTCCAAAGCAAACTGAGTGACTAGATGTGTATACTTGCAAGCTGACAGAGTGAGTTTCTTTGAAACCTCCATCAGTTGCTTTTCTAAGCATATCTCTTGGTTGTTGTCTCTTAATGAGTGAAGAGCATTTGTATATTTTAAAAGTGCAGTTGTACTCTCTCTATATATATTTGGTAGGTGAGTACAAATGCAGATAATCTTTGTTCTTGCCAAATAACTCCAGGAAGACTCATGCACATAATCATCAAAGTCTGGATACAAAAAAACTTGTTGAATAAGTTGATAATCCATCTGTTTCTGAAACTACTCTGTGGATTCTTCAGACACTTGGACACAAGAGCATAATGAATGCATTTGAAAAGCTTTTTGAACTGAAGTGGTTTACGTAATCTCCCCAGAAACTGCAAGCAATTCAGATGGTTTATCGAATTTCTTATTTTTTCCATATCATTAGCAAGTATTTCTTCAACATGTAGCCTGTTAGCTTGCTTAGCATTTAGCTGAAGCAATACAATGCCTACTAAAATGAAAGGAATTATAAATGTCTTAAGAAAATACATATATGCATATATATATATATATATGTGCACCACACTGGAAAAATTAGTTATGAGCTTAAAAACATACCTTTTGTGGAACAGAATATATAGTGATTTTTTTTTTTTTTTTTTTTTTACAGCTGTGAAGATTTTCTTCAAGAAAGATAATACCCAAAAAGTTGCCTCAATTTATATGATGAATCTGGAAAAAGCTGAATTTAAGCCCAGAGGTTTTTGAATTCACATGTGAGTGTCCAGTACTTCCTAGAAAAGAGTGAGGATTTTGAGTGGTTATGTTAAATATGTACAGAACCAATGAGATTGTATAATCCTAAATTCCTGAATGCAAGACCAGCATCCAAAATGTACAGGACTTTTAGGTTCTTTCTGCTGGATGAACAGAGGTACTTAAGTATTTTCTAGGTTTTCTCAAGACCTCGGTCTACCTCAAAGGAACGAAGAAACTATTTACTTAGGGTTTTGAATTCAAATTAACTAGGAGAAAAGATGGAAGAAACCAAGCCCAGTTTTACTTGCAAGTTACGAAATTTGGACCTAATGGGGACAAATTTGATGATACAGGTTTCAGATGAGTTTTCCATGCAAGTGCTAATGATGTTCTATCACCATCTGTGTGGAAATCTGGGTTCGCTTAAGAAGGAATGGAGGCAGCACACAGGCACTTCAAAGCAGCACAAGCCTGTTTGTTGCTTTTATAACAGGACTCAGAGGAAACATTTACAAAACATTTTCTTGTCTGCTGAAAACCAGAGTTAATGTCAATAATTGGGTCCGGAGAGACACTTCAGTTCTGTTTCAGTTTGTTTAGTTTGG